CAAATGAATGTACTCAAAAGACCATGCCAGACAGTCTTGAATAGTTCTTGATCTAATAAAACCATACTGGTTTTGATGCACTAGCTGAAGAATTACAGTCTGTAGCCTGTTTGCTAAGAGTTTTGTGATCAATTTGATAGAGCAGTTCAGTAAGGATATTGGCCTGAAGTCTCCCACCTGCTGAGCCCCCTCAGTTTTAGGAATAAGTGTGATGAATGAATCATTTATACTCTGAAGACAGATTGCATTATCTTGGAAGGCAAAGCAAAGTTCATAGAAATCCTCCTTGATGAAATGCCAACATCTTTTGGTAAATTTATTGTTAAAGCCATCAAGCCCTAGGGCTTTATCATTGGGCAGATGTTTCACTACTGTGTCAATTTCTTGTTTTGTAAAAGGATCATCAAGCCATGTCAGCTCAGAGTTGGCTTCTAGGAAGAAATTTAGATTAAAGGCCATTGCTGTAAAGTCTAACTGTCCCAATCTATCCTTGAAAGCTTCCCAAAGGACTTTTTCTTTCTCAGCATGATTAAGCACTATTTCACCATTGCTCTTCTGCAGTTGTGCTATCAGATTATGCCTGTGCTTGAGTGTAGCATTTGTCGTCATGCTTTGCCACATCACGATGTGTACATGAACAATTTTAAAACCAAACGGATCGGCCATGGCTTCCCCCATCCACGGCAGGGGGCCGTGACCGTCAGGAGGTGCCGAACCCCGGGGGACAGACAGGGTCCTCAGCATTGACGAAAGCCACGGAGCACCAGACGCACCCCGGCCCACCACCACGAGCTGCCGATGCCGGCGATGATGCAAAGTAAAGCTACACGCTTAAGCTAATCCCATGCATGATTCCCCATCAAAGCGAGTGCCGCTACCCTACCCAGTTGCAGTAACCTAATGGGGTTTTTTCTTGAACCGCGAGCAGGCTAATGACGACGTAGCATCTGCTGCGTCTCTGTTCATGCACGAGAGGGAAACGGCGTCTGATGTGTGGTGGGTGCCGTGCGACTGTGACCGGCCGGATCGATCAGGAGACTAGCTAGGACAGACGGTGCAGTGCAATCACACGTTTCGAGCCCGGATTGGCGGCGTCTCCGGGCTCGTGGCGTGAAGGGGAATCTGTCCCTGCAATTATATTGGGGAGGAAAAATGCACAAATGGTCTCTTAACTTGGCAAGGGGTGCGTCCCTCTACTTTTAAAATGTTAATTCTAGATCATAAATTTGGCTTCAGGTGTCATCCAGGTCCAAACAAGCTCGAATGAAGACCAACTTTATATCAAAATTATAGCCCTCGACAGGATCTACAATTTTATAGTTGAAAAGTTTTTAAATTAAAACTGTTTAGGTCCCAAAATACTATTGTAAGTTTACAGATTTTGAAATTTAAAATTATCAAAAAATCTCGGATGTTGACATGGTCTATATGAAAGTTATATTTATCAATACAATCTACAACTTTTTAGTTGAATTTTTTTTTATTGGAAATCATTTAGTATCTCAAATATGTGTTCTAAGTTTCTTATTTCAAAATCTAAAAAAAAGAATATAGAAGACGAGTGGTTTTATTTTATGTTCCCTAGATTAACTTTTGCCAGGAAAAGGATGCATATATTCTAAAACTAAAAGTGCTGTGGTTAGCAATTGCTCGGTGCAGACTAGCTTGGAACGCATAATGCTGATGTCTTCATAGTAGCCCACTTTCATTTAGCATTATTAGCAGTTTTTTCTACTAGTTACTCCCTTAGTCCCTCTGTTTCTGAATAAATCAATTAATTTTTATAATTATTTTAAGTTATATTTTTTTAAGCTTAACCGAATTTATAGAAAAGAGTGTTAAGATTTATGAGATTACATAATATCATTATTAGATACACTATAAAATATATTTTTGTAATATGATCATTTGTTGTTATAAATTTTTTTATATAAAATTCGGTCAAATATAAAAAAGTTTGTCCTAAGACAACAATAGAAATTGATTCATTTAGGGACCAGATAGTATAAGTGAAATGTCCGCTTTCGTTACTATAGCTTAGTTTTTTTTTAAATGAATCAGGCACCTACCGATTATATATTAAAAATAGAAAACCCAGACTGGGTAAATACAACGTAGCAACAAGAGTACACCAAATCGCCGGTGAATGTAGCTCAATAGTTTTGATGTTTCCACTATTAATAAACATATGCCACTCCATTATAGGTGATTCAGTCAATTAGACGTCATTCGCAAGTGAGAGGTCCCATCATCGATCCGTGACCACTCCATTAGCGTAAAGGAATCATTATATGTACTCACTATCCCAAAATAAACGCACGTCTCACTTCTCAAGTAGTTGAATTTTTTAAATTTTGATCAAATATATATTAAAATGTACTAACATTTATAATATATAATAAGTATTGTTAAATTAAGGATCTAATATACTTTCATAACAATACAAATGTTGATACGATTTTCTATATTTTCAGTTAAATTCTCCTCGAGAAACAAGGTGGTGCACTTATTTTTGCCATTTTGTGACGGAGCGAGTACTTCTCAATATATCTTGTGAGATAAGATGGGTCGATAGAGAGCCCGTGAATGGTGCCCAGACCTAGGAGAGGGGATGTGCGAGCGAGACGAGATTCGATGCAACTCCATGCATCTGATGAGCTGAGCAATTAGGTTTCTTTGCAGCGGAATATATCCATTAGGGTTCGAGCCTTTGACCAAGGAGAGGTAATCTCCTGCGATATTGATCTTAAGATCTGTTATGCCCCATTTATTTCTCAGATACGTTTACATTGGTAATGAAGCATGCGTGCCTTTACACGAGCGTGCTATCTGACATTGTTTTGGGAAAGGAATTAAAATCTATGTGCATCTTTGATACATTTGTGGTGCAATGAGTAGTACGGGTACACCGGGTCCCTGTAATGTACGAGTCGTCAACTTGTTTGTTCCCTCTTATAGATAGGCTGTCTGGCTGTGGCCGGTCACTTCATCCCAGAGATGCCACGGCTCGCCTGTCTTGACAGGCCGGCCATGTGATCCAGCTGCTGCTCGGCACGCGCCGCGCCACTGCACCGGCTCGTACCCGCGCCCGACCAAAAGCCACCGGCCGGCACGGCTCGCGCGCAGTCACCCGTTCCGTCCGTCCGCGCTTCCCGCCACATCGTCCGGGGTTGGGCCGTGAGGTGTCCGGTGTCCGCGTTTCCTGTTGGTTTCCTTCCGCAGGCCGGGGGCGGGCGCGCGGCACGGAGGGAGCACTGCCGCCGCCGCATACTAGTGGCCAACGGCGCGGCGGCAGATTCCATTCTCGGTTTCCTTTCCTTCTCCGCACAGGCACAGCTCCTGATTCTGCTTCCTTTTGTTTTCCTCCTCCCAGACTTGGTTTCTGATTCCAATCCTCGGCGAATCGGACGGACGGACGGTGGACCCGTGTTGCTTGCTCACTCGACACTTGCTGTCATGCTGTGAGGTTTCTTGAGGCGACAAGTGTTCACGACCCTCTCCATAGTGAAAATGAAAACTGAAAAAGCTAAGGAAGAAAGTAAGGATGTGCAGTGCAGGAGCTTACGACACTAGGACTAGATTCTAATCCTGGCTCCATGTCCATCACAAAGCCGTGTGCGATGCGTGAAACCAGATTCATCATGTGTTTCACACACCTGGTTGGCTGGTTCCAGCCAGCCTTGTAGTTGTACAGTTCCTCCAGCTCTATTATTATTTGCGAGACAACGATATTTTTTTTGGAAAATAAAAAAAAGAACAATTATTAGTTCGCTTGTTGTTGTTGGCTGCTTGTAATTGTATCATGCTTCTCCACTTGTCGTTTCTCCTCTGCTCTCGTCCAAAGACACTGCCAGGAGACCGACGCTCTGAAATTACTAGCTTAGATCGCGATGACATCTCATAGGTATAAGTCGCCATCATCGCCTTAGGAGGATTCTCCTTTGGACGGCATTTTATTTCAAGAATAGAGTTATGAGTCGAATTAAGTCGAGTGGCTGTCAGTGAACCGAAACTGCATCCATCTCATCTTGAGCAGCAGGGCTAGCTCTTGCCAAGACATGGACATGTTCGCTTCTCTTATAATCCGTCTTTTTCAGCTTGTTTTTTTCAGTCGAAACAATGTTTTTCTCTTACAACAAATCAGCCGGAACAGTGTTTCGACTTGTTTTTTCAGCGAAGCGAACGGGCCTTAGCAGGCCAGACGAGGCACGCCAAGACCCAGAATAATTAATGCAGGATTATATATTATTATTATTATTATCGTTAATCTAGCTGTGAGATTCTCTCATAGGTTGCTTCATCTTCATGCCCAGATCTTGATCTTGATCCAACAAGGAATGGCCTGGCCACCTAATTTAATTTGGCAGCACACAAGTGGCCAAGCCAAGGTCAGTACAAACAAAATAAGCACGGCCCCACATGTCACTGTCCGAATCCTGTATTTTTTAATGGAAATGATTAATGGTTACTTAAGATTGTTCAACTTAGCTTCCCATGGGATTTACCGAAGTGCTGGAATGAGACAAACTGCTCTTATAGGGTAAATCTAATTTTTCTTTTTTGAAGGTCAAATCTAATTTTTCAAGCTCAGTATTCCATAAACAAAAAACTTTCGCGGAAATATTTCTTAAAAATTGAAGAGAGAAGGATTCAGCAACAATTTGGAGAACTTATGTTCTTCCTTTAGGCATAAAAAAACAAAAACCGGTCCAGATCCTAACTCCCTAATTTGCACCAGGATTTAACACAGCCCCTTGTGCTCAAGACACACCCCCGCAGGCACAGATGCATTGCAAACCTATTGCAAAACTTAAGCATGCATGCCCCCAGTTTCAATCTCTACATCCTTCTCCTTCCCTTCCCACCAATATACACACAGTGACTCCAGAAAAATATAGGATATACATAGGCTGATGATGGAAACTAATGCATTTGGGCCATATATATACCAGGGTTCCAAATTAAAATTTTCTCCGTTATTACCCCTCTGACGATCGATGCTAGGCGGCCGCAACGGTGCTGCTTTTGCCGGACTGATCTGAGCTGCCACTGCCGCCGCCGCTGCCGCCAACCGGGGTGGAGCACTTCTTCTCCATGAGCTCGTCCAGGTTCATCTGCTGCTGCCTACACTCCTGACTGCAGAAGGCCACCTCACCCCTGCGCAAACACAGAAAGTTTAATCCAAAATGATGGTTGGTTACACAAGAAGTTTGTGTCTGAGCTGGATGAGATCAGAGGAGGCACTTGTATTTTGCTAACTAACTAACTAGCAGTTAATAACAATCTTTGTGCTGACAAAATAAGGGGCAGATCTTGAGTGTTGGACAGGAACTATGTTGGAGACCCATTCACATCCCATGAACACAACTAAACAACGCCACTTGCTCAGGAGCTGAACCACTCGGAAAGGGAAACGAAAGCTTCGTTTTTTATTTCTACTATATATCTCAACATAAAATGAATTCTCTTTCACGCATATAAAGAGGAGGAAAGCAATGGACAAGAGATATTATTAATACAAAAGTGCATCTGTGATTCTCCAGCAACCCAAAGGGCAGCTGGCTCTTGTTTTCTCCTCCTCAATCAACTTGTTCGTTTCATTTTCGTTCTGTCCACTTCTCCCCGTTCAAACCGAGCATGAGTATAGAAATCATCACATGCATCACCAAGCATTGGCAACAGCAAAGAAATAGAGAATCTAACGCGATAAACTCGCAGGATATTCCCCAAGGTCAGGGGGGCAATGGAGATCAAATTTTGTATCTCGTTCCTCTTCAGAGAAACAGAGAGCAGAGAGCCAGAGATATATTCATATATATAGTTTCTCAATCTAAAACAAGGCAAAGGAAGCCAGATCATCCAAAAATATCTTGCGTCGAAGAAGCACCAACATCAATAAGACCCCTATGCCAGGATCATCAGAACGCAGTTGCGCTGCAGCAATCTTGGAGAGGGAAAGAACAAGCAGCAGACAGCAGGCTGAAAGATTCGACCAACAGCAGAAACATTGGCAGAGCCTATGCAAATACGAGCAAGGAAAGCAGAGGCTTACGCACATGTAGATGAAGGTGTCACGGCCGGGGCCGAGGCGGCGCTTGCAGAGCCCGCAGGCCTTGAGGAAGTCTGCCGTCTCCATGGCGGGGAGGAAGTCCCCCGAGTGCATCATCATCATCTCGGCGCCGCCCCACACGGTGCCCGCCCCCGCCCCCGCCACCGCATCTCCCCTCGCCGCCCGCGTCTGGGGCCTCCCGGAGAGCTCCGGCGGCGGCGGCGCGAGGTCCGACAGGCTCGTCGTCCGACGCATCGCGGACGACGAGGACGACGGCGACGACGTGGAGCCGCCGCCGATGCTCCGCCCCGCGGACGACGGCGTGGAGGTGCAGCCGTTGTTGTTCCTGGGACGCTTCCGCGTAGACATGGTCACCTCGGACGGACGGATCTCCCGGTGGTAGCGACGGCGGCGGATTGGTCTCGTCGTCGTCTTTGGGAGCGGAGGGGGAGTTCCGGAGTGGAAAGGGGGCGAGTGGCGAGGCAGCCCTGGAGTCTGGGGCTGGAGGGAGAGAACTAGAGAAGAGCCGTGTGGGGTGGTTAAAAAAGGAGGGAGAGGGAGAGGGTGGAAATCGGGGGATCTGCGACCTCCATCGGAATCTAATCAATGGATACCATCCCTCACCAGCGAAGTGATGCCGATGAATTGAAGAATTATTAATTTTTATTATGTGGGTTTACAATACAATTTAATGTTTCAATATTTTATAAGGGATTGTTTATAGGGTTTATGGACTTAACTATCGCCCGAGCGTGCAGGCAGAGAAGTAACGCCTGCACGGTCTCGCTGGAGCTTCGCGGTCGTGCAGCTCCCCTCTCTCCTCCCTCCGCCCCCTCCCGCATGCAGCCATGGCAAACTCCGGCGAACTCCGGCCATGGCACCCCCCCCTGACCTAGCCCGACCGCCCCTGCCGCCGCCAGCTTCCCTAAACCACCCATCAACCATCTCCACCGCTTGCCCTACTTGCTGCCCCCTCGGCGGCCCTTGTATACCCCGCCAGAGTTTGGGGAAGAAGGGTGCGGCGCGAGCCGTAGGAACCCTAGGGTAGTCTCTTCTCCGGCGGCGGCGTTCTTTGTCGGCGCGAGCGCAGGGGAGTAGGGCGAGTTTGACGTCGTCTTCTTCTCCAGGGCGGCATTCTTCTCCTGCGCGGTCAGGCACTGTCTTCTTCTCCGGCGTGGTCGGGTGCTGGCGCTCCAACGTGAATCGGACGGCTGCGTGAACGGCCACGCGAATCAGAACGGCCGCGACGGGTGTGCGCGCTGCGCCACCGAATCCTGAGCTACCTGGAATAAGCATTTCCGAAGGTTTATTTATGACGTGAGTTTTTGGGTTGAGTGACGGTGGCACTTTAGTACTACGTGTCACAATATTTTATAAGTGCGATGAGCAAGGTCGATGACACGTGGGGCCAAGGCATGCGGGGCCAATTATCAGTGACAGTACTATCACGGGGGGGACAGTTGTTGGCATCTGTGTGCAGTATGGCAGGAGTATTTCTCTTCTTGGCGCGCTGCAGGGCAGCATCGCCTATCCTTGCCAACACCCATGATGTTACCAAAGATTTTTCTATTTGACGTATAATTTGTCCCATGTATTCTTTGGCTTGCAGTTTAAACTGGTGTGCATCTACTCAGACACCCATGGCTTCTGATGGCCCGTCACCCGTGTTCCAAAAATGTTTCGTTCAGCATTTAAGTAAATATCCTACTCTGCTCTGAGAACTGAGAAACCATCTACACACGAGAATGAGATGAAATTCCCCTTCTCATGAATCAAGGATAATCTTAAGTATGTTTCATTGAGGATAAACTAATGATTTATTTTTACTGATTAGTTTGTTTTTTAAAGGATTCGACAGGGGAGACGGAGGGCCTCTTCACTGTGGCTTTAAGCCTCTACGACAGCAGCGGGTAGTGGCTTAAAGCCATAGCGAATAAGCCCGAAAAGTCCCTACCTGATATATTGACCACGAATGCCAAACAAGTCGGGAGTGGAGGGCCGAAGCCGCAAGAGATGCCTGTAGTTTAGGTTGCAAATTAGGGGAAGGTAGGGTATTACATATTGAACACACTGTGTAATGTAATATGTTCAATCTCGTGGCAATCTACGGGCCCAAGAGGTCGCTAATTCACGACAAACTACAAGTAGGCGATGCAAGCTTGGATGTAGATTCCGGAACACGATATCATTGCTATGCTTTTAGAGCTCCCAACAGCAGAGGAGGAACATTGGCACTGTCGTTGCTGAAATTTCTGTAGCAAGGAAGGAAGGAGGTCCATAGGTTACGTAATCAGTGTCTCAGCACCATCCACATGGCTCCAGAACTCCACAGCAAAAGGGAATAGGAAAATTATGTGGTTTAAATTCTTAGGTTGTGTTTGGTTGAGCTATGGCTGTAGAAAAAAAAACTGTGAGGGTGTGAGCTGTGGAAAAGCTATGGTGGACTGTGAGCTGTAGAAAAGCTGAAAGTTGTTTGGTTAAACAAGTATAAAATATACTTTGTATCTTTATCTCTCTTGAAACAACTATGGAAAAGTTTTTTATTCCACCAATTTTCGAAAAGCAAAAGTCAAAAGTCAAAAGCATCATCAAAGCAGCTTTCAAAAATGTACTACGAAAAAACAGTTGCTTTTAAAAAAACCGCCCCTCCTTTAGTTGGGCTTTTAACTTTTGAAGCTAAAAGCAAAACCAAAAGCCCAACAAACATACCTTATTTCCACTATGGCAGAGGTCGCAGCAAGCATCATCGATAATGGATTTCTATAGGGAATTTGCTTTGCGCTGGATTCAGTTTTGGGTCAGTAACGACCCGAAGAATTTGACTCTGAGGGTGACATAACTATGCCATACAAAGTAGTGTACGTCATTGGCTGCCCTGGCACTAATGAAGTCTCTGTAAACGGTGACATCTGATCCAATCTGATTTTTTTCTCATAATAGCCTATGTGTATAGTATTATGAGGTTGTGAAGGTTTAATTCCACCTTGACTGTTGAATGTGGGTTAAACCAACATAGAAGGCTTCTAAAGTCCATACCGTTACGGAGGAGGAGGGCACGACTACCCCTTTGGGCTGGTTGGGTGGGTTTTTCCTAAAGAGCCTCTGAAGTTGCATGTTGTAACCAATGAGCCCCCAAATATTCAGAAAAAAATAGACCGGGAGTGATTCTCCTCCATATATGTATTTTAATAATATATGAACTCCAAGTCACGCGACCGCAGCCTCCTCGTCGCTCGTGCGGTCGATGCCTCCCTTCCGCGAGCCTCCCTTTCACGACGTTGAAAGCGCATGTTGCAAGAGTATGTTTCAATTGATTCAGATTCATATTCAGATGTTTCAGAGGTATATGTTGCTAGTGTTTCATATGGATGTTGCAAAAATAGATCATGATGTTGCAATAGTTTTACATGTATGTTGCAAGCGTCCGTTTCAAATGTTTCATCTGCTTTTTTAGACATATGTTGCAAGTGTGCTTATTTAGATGTTGCATATGTTTCACACATATGTTGCAAGAGTATGTTTGTAATGTTTTAACTGTTTTAGTCTTATGTTGCAATAAGTGTTTTCACGTTGCAAGTGTTTTATCTGGATGTTGCATATGTTTCACACACATGTTACAAGTGTATGTTTCAAATGTTTCATCTTCCTCAGACGTATGTTGCATTCAAGTGTTTCATGTTGCAAGTGTTTTGTGTTTCAGAGATATGTTCATGAGAGTCATGGGGTACAGCCCGGGCGCTGGGAGAAGGGACATGGCGAGCCAAGGTCTGGCGGATTGGGCCGAGCGACAGGCTCAGGGCGGGGCGAGACGGATGGGGACAGGGTACGCATGCGTGGCGGGACGAGGTAGACAGGGAAGGACCGCAGCGATACAGTACGAGTGTGGCGCGTTTGTGATAAGTGTTTTTTATATATATTTGATATAAAAGAGCAAGGAACTTAGACAAATTCAACGGCTCCTCGTTTGTGATTGTGCTTTTTTTTTCTCCCCCTGTTTATGTACGGCGTGCACACCTGCAGTTTGCAGCATGCTGCATGTACCGAACCAAAGTGAAGCTGAAAGAACAGGGGACAGGCAGGCGGCAGTAGTACAAAAGAGCTCAGCATGGCTCCAGGTGGATGAGCTGGGTGGCGAGGAACACGCCAAAACTGTCGCTGCCATAAGCAACTGACGTTTGCTCCGATCTTCAATTTCGATTCATCTCCCCTCCGAATTCCCCCTGGCTGAAGCAATGCCGGTGTTGACTATAGCCTATAGGTACAGAGCTGCTGCCCTCTGCCCTTAAATCCCTCGATCTCAAAAAGTCACCACTTGATAAAAGTTCAGTCAGTCCGTGATTGCGGTTATGTGATGTGATTTAAAAAACTAACAAGTTATGGGAATCTTTGCTGACATTATTAGAAGAGCCTCCAGCCCTTTTGTTAGAATTAGTTGATGTTTTGCGGTGGCGAAACTAGAGTAAACTAGAGATGTATGCTTGTCTAGTTGGTGCATAAATTTGTGTCATAATAAAAAGTATATCTTATAATGTCATTTTAGAGGGGTTGTATTTACTCCTCCTAAATACAATATAGCTTCAATTCGTCCTCATGTTTTGAACAGCTGAATTGACTCCACTCAATTGTATCTGTAGATACTAGATGTTGGGAACACGAAGTAATCTTGACCTGAGAGTAAGATTGTGCTGTCGTTGATGCTAAGAAAAGATGCTTCAAATAACTCCACCTAAGGTTAGCAGCATGTTCGTTTCGACTGGATTGGCTTATAAGTTATGGCTGAAAAGTACTGCTGACTGATTTGGTGTGAGAGAAAAATATTATTCAAGCCATGAATTATAAATCAGATACGAGCAATCCAGCCGAAACGAAGGCCGTAGGTCCAGGATCGATAAAAACTGTGCCTGAAGCATCATGCGCATGGAAACATGGTGAGCAATTAAGGTACCCCCATTAACCTGTGCTGTCATAGCAGCAACTACAGTGGGTGGATAGTCCGATCCGCATTTGCGCGAGAAATGTTTGCCTCGTCATTAGAGCAAGTACTACACTATTCCCTCCGTATGAAAAGGCAGCCACGATAACACCAATACGAGCCTTGGCCTCGCAATGACGATAGATACGACTAAAAGACGCGGGACGCGAGGCGCCATACGCGCGTCGTGAGAGCGCACACGTCCCCCGCGCACCAATGCAAGGGGGACAGGCATGGCGATGAGCTCAGAAGCTGCTGGCCTGGCACTACCGGAAAGCAAAAGGAAAGGAAAGGAAAGGAAAGGAAAGCTGAGTTCACGTCGGCGGCTGCTGCTTTTGCATTGGTGTCCCTTGGATCCTGATGGCGTCACCATGAACTCCGCTAGCTCCGGGGTAGG